AACTTGAATATGTTATAGAAATCATTATGAAAATGATTTTTTTGTTATTACACAACATCGACTTGGTTAGTAAAATCGTGACTTTTTATATCACAGAAGTTATCCAATTATTTTCGTCGATCATCAGGTGAAGCGATACTTTTTTCAAGGGACTGTATATATGTACAGTACCTTAGCAAAAGTTTCAATCACCTTAAATACATCATTTACACAAAAACTTACATAATAATTGTACAAAAAATTATATCAACTTGTGGCATTATATTCTGGAGATCCTGCATATAAAGTTTCATATTTCTGGATTTTCCAGAACTTAAACAATAAAAAATAAAAAAAAGTTGATTATTTTTGATTTAATTTTAATATTTCATGAGTCATCCATTACTTGCAATACATGCCTCAATTCTACAAGACATGCTTTTGATTAATTTCATGCTGAAATTTTATCCCACTCTTTGATTAAAAGTGCCCCTAACTCCTTTGTTTTGCTGGCTTAGGTTTTTTCAAAAATGAGTCTCTAGTTCATTCCACAAATGTTCAATTGGATTTAGGTCAGGAGATTGACTTGGCCATCCTTCTAGAAAAACCAAGAATTTTGCTAAATTTTTCCACCTTTATAGAGACCAATAATTTGTCCATGTTCAACTTGATTTAAATTCATTGTTAAAATTTACCAAAATCTTTAATAATTCATTAAAAAAAAAAGTATTCAAAATCATGCAAATCAGATGATCTTAATTATCAGGTGTAAAAATATTAAACAACGTTATCATGTAAGCTTTAGAGCAATGATTAAATTTTTCAAAAATGATCAACTTTTTTTGTTTTTACTGTATGTATGTACAAAAGTTTTGGAACACTTGCTTTTGTTAATTGCGCAAAAATATACATAATAAACATATATGAAATTTATATCATTTGCGATTTAGGTTCTTGTGAATATCTATGCAAAATTCCATGCATCTAGGTTCCGTAGAACTCAAATAAATATATAAAAATGAAATTCGATTTAAATTTTTTCTTTGATGATCACTAAATTTCTGATGCGAAATTTTTTAATTTATTACTCAAATTCTATTACTATGTAATAATTTTAGTTGGGTATCCTTTGCTCTTTATACAAGCCTGAATTATTCTAGGCATGCTTTCAATCAAATTCATTAAACCATTTTGAGGAATTTTATTCCATTCCTCTTTTAAAGCAGCCTCAAGTTCAAGTTCTTAGATTGTTAGGACGACTTCTAATACGACATACTCTTGTGGTGGAAAAGCCAAGTATTTTAGAAATACTTCTATATGAGGCTCCATTTTTATAAAGGCAAACTATTTGCCCATGTTAAGCTTCAGTTAAATTAGACTTTTTTTTTGAAATTTAAAATTTTGAAAACTTTAAAAAAAAAAGATCTAAAAAATATGCAATAAAAATTATTTTTTCAGAATCACCAAACTTGGGTTTTCATATTACTATGTAGGTTCTTGGACAATTTCTAAAACAAAATTTCATTTTTTATACATTTATTCGAGTTCTACGGAACCTAGATGCATGGAATTTTGCATAGATATTCACAAGAACCTAAACCGCAAATGATATAAATTTCATATATGTTTATTATGTATATTTTTGCACAATTAACAAAATCAAGTGTTCCGAAACTTTTGTCCAGGTGCTGTGTGTAGATATATAATGCATATTTATTTATTTTTCTAATATTAAACAATTTTAAAACCGTAATAATAGACACATTTTTAACATTGGTTATTATAATTATTGAATTGTGCCATAAGATCCGATACATTAGAACTACCAGGAATTTGGTTAGAAAATTGTTGTAAATTTGGCGCAACATGTTGGGATTGATGTTGAGATAAAGGAAGAGTATTAGGAAGCATAACATTTGGATTGACAACATGAGGCTGATTGATCATTGAAGTGTTATAAGTAGTAGACTGTTGTGTAAGATTATGTGGGGGTACCTGCATATATGGCTGTTGATTTGAAGTATTTGCAGGTGCTAAATGTCTAAGTATTTGTTGTATATCAAAATTTTGCTGTTGTACAGGTATGAACCCTGGCTGATGTTGTAAATTAGTATTAGGTGGAACTAATTGCATAGGTTGTATTCCTTGAATAGAATGAACATTTTGGGGACCTGTTGGTTGTTTTTGTTGCAAACTACCAAGCAAATTGGCAAGTGCAGCAAAATTAACGTTATTTAATGAGTTTGGATTAATATTGGCTGCATTCGATTGTTCCGTAACTGGGGCAGCTTGTTGTGTTTGGGATAGAATTTGTTGCCCACCCATTAATATATTATCTAGTGGTCGAATATTAACAGAAACTGATGAAACACGAGCTCGCAACAATAATCCGACTGCCTCTTCTATTTTAATGCTGTTATATTCTAATTATTTTCAGCTTAAGTTAATAAAAAGGAATAATACATAATATCAAAGTGTTAGAAGAAGGAAAAAAACCAACCATCATATTTTACATTGTCTTGAAAACGTTGATGTTCAAAAATTTGCATATTAACCTTGCCGTTGATTGCAAGAACTCTTTCCAAAAAGATGACAGCATGTACTCCTTCTACAATCATTTGACGAACAACTGCTTGAATTTGAAGTTTTCTAGATAAATGAAGTGTATGAACAGAAATATTTGCTTCTCTGAATGCATTTTCCACTTGCCACAAATAATTACTAAACAATAATAATAATAAGCAATTATTTTATAAATCATAATAAAATAAAAACAAAAAAATGGCATTTAAAACTTATAGGGTACTGACCGATCAACTTCTTCAAGAGCAATTATTTGACATTCTGGTACTTCGTTACCTTGCCTTCTAGGTAAAGGAAATTCTTCATTAGTCTTATCTTGTGATTGTGACCTATTATCACGACTTTGTTTTTGTTCTAAATAATCTCTATTAGGAACTTTGTATGGTTTAGATCTGTGGGAAGCTCTTTGATCGCGGTATTCTTCTCTGTATGAATCATGACGATATTCTCTTTCATTAGATTCCTTATTATAATTCCAATCATTATGGTTTTGAGTATGATGTCCCCTGGCAGGTGAATATTCTCGTTTACTATTATGCCAATTGTTTTTATTACCACCTCTTTGATTCCAACGTTTTTCATGACGATGCCCAGAATTAGTTTTAAATCCAGTATCTTGATTTGGTGAAAGGCGATGCGGCTTACCGTGAGAAACTTCTAATCCTATTATAAAATTAATTTAAGGTTGATGTTATTGTGAATGAAAACGAGTGTTTTTTAAAAAACTTTATTTAATGGTTTGTTTTATTATTTTTGTAAAAAAATCAATCAATTTTAAATTAATAACTTGCCTAATCTTAGCCCATGTAAAACTCTTCCGTTTTCTTTCTCAATTGCTTTTTTAACATTCTCAGGGTTATCATATTGGATAAAACCAAAACTATTTTTAATAGATATTTGAAAAACCTCTCCATAAGGAGAAAAGATATCATAAAGCTCTTTTTTGGAAATCGATTGAGTGGATAAATTTCCTAAAAACAAACGAGACCCTGAAGGCAGAGCTTGGAATTCAGCATCTGTTAATTTACGCAAACTAAATGGGGCCTTATTATTATCATTATCTGATTTTTCATTTCCTATTCGGGAGTTTGGAGAATGGCGACTACGAAACTTATAGCGATATTCTCTATCAAAATTTTGATCAATATTACCAGATAAATTGTCTACATTATTATTAATTTGGGAATTCCAAATAGAATTAGTTATATTGGAATTTGGTTGTTGTAAAATTTGACCATATTCAAAATTCATAAATTCTTCCTTATTATTATTATCATTATTATCATCATCATTATTATTATCATCAACATTGTCAACGTTATTGTTATCATAAAGGTCGGATGTTTTTGCAGAAATATTCGTATTGTTGATGATTTGAACACTGGAAGAATCAAGTTCCATGTTATTAATTTCATTTTGAACAATGTTATCTTTTTTAGGTGGTGGTAATTCACTATTATTAACTTCTTTTGGTTCGTCAATTATTTCCTGACCAGTATTTATATTTGGTATATGAATAGTTTGCTCATATGAAGATAATGATGAGTCAGGTAATGATTTTGTGGATGTATTTTCATATTCTGAAATTGGTAAAGTCATCCTTTCTTTTTGATTTTGGGCCGATTCTAAAGCTTCACTATAATGATTTAAATTTTGCGATTTATTTATTCCTTGGTCATTTACCTCTTCATTGCTAGTTGATGGATTTTTTTCAGTTAGTAGTTCCTGTTGGGAAGGAATATCGGAACTGGGAACACTGTTAATAGATATTGTCTTCATCATAAACTATCTGAAATGAAGTTTAATATTTTAAAAAATTTTTTTTGGGAAAAACAAAAATGGGGCCTTCGATACGTGGCGTAATTTATTCTAAAAATTTTTTATTTTATTCCTTTTATTAGAATCAAAAAAATTTCTCCCAAATAAATAAATATATATTATATATAAATCAACAACAAAAAAAATTTGTTAAAAAATTATTGATTTGATTGATTCAAATACTTTTATAATGAAAACCTCCTAATAAACAATTTTTTTTACGACTAATTTAATCACCCATACTAGCTTCAGTTTGAATTTGTCTGTGAATATGGCATAGATAATCAACATATGACATAGCACCATTATTTTCATCTTCTACAAGTAAACTATTAAATTCCATTTCCGCGAGATCCAATTGCATTCTTGCAATCGTAAGCCTCAAAAATTTGGATCTTTGTGATTGAAGATACGATATAATTGAACGGACTTGTGTTGAAGTTTTATTTTCAAATTCAGGTAGAAAAGTCTGTCAAATATGTGTGTGTGATGAATGTTAATATTTATAATTGAATATTTAGGAGACGATATATATATAATATGAAAGGTTAATTACAAGTTTGGGGTCAACATTTTCAATTGAACTGACTCCAAACACATCGAGCAAAAATTCTGAGGAAATTTGTCGTCCTATCCAAAGTATCATTGTTTGACCGTTTTCTGTTCAAAGTTTAAAAAAATAGATTATTTTATTTATTTATTAATTTTTATTTTATAAGATAAAAACAACAAACCTAACAAATATGCACCATCTTGATCAACTCTTGAAAAAGAAGTTCTTAATAGTGGTGGTAATTTAATTCTACCATATTGATCTGGGTATCCAATCTAATTAAATTCCAAAGGTTATTATGCTATTCTATACAGGTTATATAGTTATGAAAAAGGTGATTTACAATTCTATCTATCAATAAATTAAATACCTCTTCCGAAAGATTATGAACAGCAAAAAGTCGTGGATAAAAAAGGACAATACTTTCGGATACACTGGCACTTTTTATAAATCGCATAAAATATACTCGCACATCACTTGCAATATTGGCACCTATTATTTTAATAAATTATTTGTTAAATTGCTTAATAAATATGTGCGCATTTATGTATATTTACCTCCACGGAGAGCTTTAGACTTTAGCATTGCCAAGGAATATAATGGAAATAGTTTGAAGGCTTCTGGTAAAATCAATTGCCCGGGTGCATTTGCATTTGCACAATGTTTTCGATATGATAGTAATATCTTTACACATTTGTCGGTTATTTGATCACGAATCTCACGTAATGGTTTTGTTATTGAATTTGATACAGCTATATAAATATATAATATATATTTAAATTAAATAATATATACACACACATTTATTCATTTAAGACATTTTTAATTTCTGATAAATAATAAGTTAATCTTACCCTCTTTGGCCAAAAAGTTTACAGTAGTATCCATTTCTGCATTTCTGAAAACATTGCCCAACAAAGTCGTAACTGTAATACTTAAATTGTGTGCTCTTACCCTTCGTTGACCGGTGGATGTTGTATATAAAAGTGCACATTGAATGTATGCATCAGTTTTTTCATCGAGTTTCCCATCATGTTTAAGTGCAACGCCAAATGCTTTATCACTATCAATCCCAGCAAGTTCAACATCTGTAGTATTTCGCATGTTAAAGTTTCCAAAATGATCCGAAACCTTAAGACCTAAATTAAATTCAGATAAGTATTAATGCTGGCATTTTATCACAGCAATAATAAAAGAAAATTTCTATTATTATTGTAATATCAAAATTCTAACCATTAGAACACCTAATTCTCATAAGCGCATTATATCCAGATTCTCTTAAAACATTATGTTTTAATTCACGCGAAAATTTCTCGCCGTCAAGTTGGGCATCGAAATTAGGGTAAAGGTAAATTTCACCACCGGTCAAACAAGATAACAATCCTATATAATTTTTAATATTTTTAAATTCAAAATAATAAATAAATACACACACACACACATATATATTAATCATAAAGAGAAGTACATAATTAAAATACATATTTATACAACTTACCAATAGTTGCAACGTCAATATAAGTGTTTGGAAATAAAAATAAATCAATACAAATACCAGAGTCTACACAATTTATAGCTTGTGTTTTATAATATGTATCTTGAGGAGCATATAAAGTTTTTTCCTTATCGGTATTATACAATTTTGTATCTTCACGATGCTTAATTGCTCCAGGACCAAATGTTGGAATAGAAGTTTGAAAAATTATTAGTTTTCCACCAGTTTCATTCTATATATATATTAGAATAAAAATATAATGTATATTATTAAAAACATATATATTATGAAATTTATATCTTGCTGAATAGGTGAAAGGAATATTAAATCTTGAAATCAATACCAGTGCCATATGTGCTGCTTTTACAACTGCTCCTAAAACAGGTTCAATAGTCTTGTTTTCAATAAACATTGACGGTAATGATTCTAAAAGGAATTCTATCACAGTTCTTAATAAACAATTTATAAAATTAATAAATATAATAAATATGGATATAAATATAAATATATTAATTTCTTAATTTAGTAAAAAAAATTTTTTCTTTGCTTACCTTGATTCATATGGATCAACCAATAGCCCAGAATTTATTGGCACAAAAATATCATTGATATCCGAGACAACCAACATTTGAGCTTGTTCAAGTTGTGACTATTTTTGTTTTATTATTATTATTATGAAAATAATAATGATGATGATGATAATGCGTGAGCTTATGGAATAAACTTGATTGTTCCAATATACATGTAAATACCAATTGAATACCTGTAAATTATAAAAATGTATATCTTTGCCAAAAGTCATAATACCTATTCTACCTCCTGCTGGAATACTATTCGGCGTATTATATAAAATATCTCGAATTGTTTCTACACATTTTTTTAACATTCCACTTTTAATTGAATTCCAAGAAACATCGATAGCAAATATACACGATAGAGGAGTTGGTGTTCGTGCCCAGTATTCCTAATTTTTTAAACAAGGATTTCCAATAAAATAAAATATTAAATAATTAAATTACTTTAATATCAAAGTGTAAATCACCTTCAAAAATAAATATTCTTTACCTTCGGTGCAGAAAATTCTACTGTCCCATGCTTTAATTCAGGTCTTTGTTCTAAATCAGCTCTTCTTCCGCTCATATCTAAATTACAAAAATACTCTACTGGAACTTTTATAATTTTAAAAAATATATAGTTTATTAAAAAAATTCCTATCGAAAAATAAATTTATTAAAAAAAATTTTATAAATAGAAACATATCATTCAACCTTCATTTGCAAATTGACACATATTACATATAAATTTTTGACCGCCTTCAACAAAAATTACAAAAGGATTTATATATGCCTTGCATCTTCTACAACGAACTGGTCCATTCTCTTGAAAATCAACTACTTCAATTGGGGCCTTAAAAAAATGTCAATATTTATAATAATTTTTTTAGAAAAAAAAATAATTATAAATATATAAAATAACCACTAACCTCATCATTTCTTAATTTAGCCAAAGGTTGTAAAATAATAGCAAGAGGTAAATGAGAAGTTTGAAGAAGATCTTCATTGTTTGGTATAGAATATAATGTTAATCTCATAAATCTTGGATTAGAATTTCCTAATTTAAGATGTTTTTTTCAATAGGTTAATAAATATTATAAATAAATAAATTAATATAATTCAAGTATTTAAATACCCTCATCTATTGATTTGAAGTCAGTACTTGCAAGTGGTGTTGCTAATTTTGAGCAAGTCATATATGGTTGTTCTTCAAAAAGATTTTGATCTTGTTCTTGAACTACAACAGGCGAGGGAATTTGATTTGGATCTATACGAGCTCTAGCAGCATTTGCAGGAGGTCGTGATTGTGACGGTGGTGGAGGTTGTGATTGTGGAGGTGGAAGAACTGCTGTATTGCTCTGAACAGTGGTAGCATCAGATGCTTGCAGGTATGGTTGTTGATTTGTCATCGGTGGCATATTGCTTTGTTGTGTTAATGGTATATTTTGTTGGTGTGTAGGTGGAGGTGGTATCATTCGATTAAAATGCTGTTGTTGTTGCGATGTTTGCGGCAGTAGAGATGGTAAAGGTGGTCTTATTGATGTTTGTAAAGGCGGTCTCATCGGAGGTGGAGGTGGTATCATTCGATTAAATTGCTGTTGTTGCGATGTTTGTGGCAATAGAGATGGTAAAGGTGATGTTTGTAGGGGTGGTCTCATTGGAGGTGGTTGTAATTGTTGTGGTCTTGGTGGTGGTGGTCTCATTGATCCAGTTTGAGACATATTGTTTGTGGTTGGTTGTTGATACATTGAAAAAATAGAATAATAAGAACAATAATAAGATCAAAGTTAAGGGTAGGCACCATTACGTCATCTATTTGTATTCGTCGATCCGTCCAATTTTATTTTTTTCCGAAAAATTTCGTTTGCCTATATTTAATACCTTTAAAAAAGCCTACTAAAACTTCCTTTGAGATTCTAACTGTGTTATTATTATTACTCTTTATATAAGTTATGTAAAATAGTTAATATTTCATCATATAACAACAATAATAATAGTAGTAGTTTAACACTGTATATATTATTGTGGTGTTGATCATCAAACATACGTTACATCAATATAACAAATTATTATGTGCGGATTTTTTTAGTATCTTTATCATATATTTCAATACATTGTAAATGT